CAGGTGGATAGGATACACTCCTTACTTAAACAGATTTGGCTATGGGATGTTATTTGGAGTAACTGAAAGTGAGGGTAAAGTATCCTGGTCCTGGGTTAGCCACAATTCAACTAATACAATGCAGTCAAGGTTCACACAGTAAGCTCTAGTGTAACCATTGTGACTGATGTCATACAAATTGAATTTGGCTATATAATGATATCATTAAGGGAAAGTGATGGCACAAAGCAATAGCAATAGCAAGTACATTTCTATACTGCTTATCAGTGAACTTAAGCACTCCCTAAACAGTTTACAATGTTAAAACAAGAAGGAAACACAAATGAGTAAGCAAACAAGAGTATGCAAACATGATTGAGAAGGAGGTTTTCAACATTACCAAAATGGATTATTTTTTAAAGCAACTAATGCTAAACCTCAGTCAAATATGGCACATGTGTGCTTCTTTGCACAATACTTGCTTTCTGGCAAAATTTTGTGTTCAGAATAACAATAAATCATGTCCTGTAAACATCTTTGTACTATTGTGTTGGGAAGATAACATGGATGCATCATTACATGTATAAGACAATAAAGACAATAGTGGATAATATTTTATTTGGAAATGTCTTGAAATGGACTAGTCTGATAGAAATGCAAAATACGGGAAGCTGCATGGCTTTTTAGAAACTGTATCTGAATGATGTATAGTCAACCGTCCTTTTCCATGGATTTTTTTATCCACAGATTCAAGCATCCATAGATTGAAAATAATTCCCAAAAATTTTCCAAAAAGTAAACCTTGATTTTGCCACTTAATATAAATTACACCATTTTTCTGTGCCATTATATTTAATGGGACTTGAACACCCACATATTTTGTTATCCATGGGGTATTCTGGAACCAAACCCCAGTGGATAAGAAGGACCCACTGTATTTATGACAAGAGATGCCATTATGGATCTGACTGCAATTCAGTTCTTTACATCTGATTTTGTCAATACAAGGTAGGAGGAGTGTTAACCCAACAGAACTGCATGTAGGTTAACAGTTGGCAGATCAACACTGCAAGTAGTTATCAAGTTGAGACTAGCCTAACAGAAACTCCACCCACCAATGAACTGCGGCAAAAGCATAAAGAATATCACATGAAATTAATTAGTTTATTATTACTCTATGATCCTGAGAGCATGATCTAGAAAGAGCAAAATCAAATGTGCATTTTCAGAAGCCTTAACAGTCATTCAAGAATCTCATTTTCCCGCCTCTCTGGTTCAGTTTATGTGCATTGTCACTCTTCTGAAGTTATATCATTTAAGTGCAAAGCTTGGAAATAGCATGTACGTTTTGAAGGTTTCTATAATGTTAGTAGCACATTACTTTGTGTGTATGTGTGTGTGTGTGTTTTAATTTTTGCTAACATTCTGTCTTAAAAGAAATGTTGAAAACATTAATAACACAATAACAGCATGCCATATATAAAAACAATAATAAAACGCCAACAACAAAATAAAAAGATTTCCAAATCTCTTCTTTTAGATACTTTTGTCAATACTTTACACTTTTACTACTACTCTGCATTCCAGTGTATTCTATTCTATAATCCTTAATTTCTTATGCTTGCATTTAAACATGAATTTCATGTATTGTTGTAGGCCCCTATTTCAGTTTTAAATAATCTAAGGGCCTGAACAGACTGCCAGAAATAATCCAGTTTGAGACCACTTTAACTGCCCTGGCTCAGTGCTAAGGAATCATGGGAACTGTAGTTTATTGTGGCACCAGAGCTCTCTGACAGAGAAGGCTCAATGTCTCAGAAAAAACTACAGTTCCCATGATTCCCTAGCATTGAGCCAAGACAGTTAAAGTGGCCTCAAGCTGCATTATTTCTGCCAGTCTGTACAGGCCCTTACATTACTAACTACTCTGTCTTGATCTATCCATTGATCCATTTCTAATTTATTAATTTAATTTATCAATTTCCATCTAGTCATACATTTTCCACAACCACTCAGACACATCCAGGGTTTTTTCTTCTTTCCATTTTTTTTTTTTTTTTTTTGAGGGGGGTATATTGTTCTGGCTGCAATTACCCTATAGAAAATAATTTACCAAATTTTTACTCAACTCCTCATATCCAAGAGGTAGATGTTAGGATCTTTTCTAAAATTAATCCAAATATTTTGGTTATTAACTTAATATATTTGATTCCAAAATTGTTTTGCTCTTTTACATAACCACCACATGTGGTAAATTGTACCTTTCTTTTCCTTACACTTCTAACATCTATTGTTGATATTTTTATACATTTTTGCATGTTTGGCAGGCGTGAGATACCATCTAAACTGCATTTTGCAAAACTTCTCCCTCTTATCATAGCTTAGCGTATATTTCAGCCTCTTCACCCATGTCTTCTCCCACTCATATATTGGAATTGTTCCAGTGATTAAATTGGCAAGGCTTTCTCCAGTATTTTCACTTTCATTGACTTATAGAGAGTGAAAAGACAAAAGTGAAATGTAACTTATGAAACTGACAAGGAATTCCTTTGAATGAATGAATGAATGAATATAGGTAGCTGTGTTAACCATATAACAAAATCCAAAATATACATTTATTATACCAACTAACAGGCACCAAATATATATGATGGTTTATTATGCCCGTTAGTTCTTCATCACACCAAGATGATAAGAAATCATGCAAAGGAAGAAAATTGCAGATATTAAAGTCAAGATCTTTATCTCATTTCTTACATTGGTCCTAAGGGATGGCCAATGCCTATGAGAGTTTATGTCAAAACCCTTGATGTCTGTGAAGTAACCAGGAACAAAGGCAGTAAAAAGAAATGCATCCATTAGCAGAAATATGTAAATTGCATGCATTTGAGAACTGGGTCTTTCCCTGTCCTGTGTAAGATTGCAGGCTACTTTGCATTGAGAGTACAGTGCCTGCAAAAGCAGAAACAGAATAGAGGACAAGCAGCCTTTCCCAAGGAGAAAGGATGATAAATAAGCTGCTTTTCTCTAAACCTTTTCCTCCACAAGTGACCTTATTTTCAAGATTGGATAGTGAGCATTCCAACTCATAGTAGGAGTGAGATCATTCAGCCTGTGAAAAAGAGACTTTGCAGGGCAGCTGATACCATCTTTTCTCAAGAAAAAGGCATGGCAATTCAGATGTCATGAGAAAAGCCTCCTTTGCCACTAAGAGAACATGGCAAAAGCCTCAGATTCATACTGCCCCTTCTCCACTCAAGTCTTGTTCCTGGTTTATGGCAAACCTATATTTTGCTGTTACATCAGAATTGCCTGGCTATGGTTTGTGCTTCCCCTGGCAACCAGGACTGCAAGCTGCTATTTGAAGCTGGAAGACCAAAGGTTCCTTATCTCTGCTTTAAATGAAGAAACTTCCAGATCCAGTTATTCTTATTTTTGTTATTCCTTTATAGTACATTATGCTAAAGTCATTTAGACCCTGATAAAAATGTGGCAGGGTAGTACCGTAACTTTTTATGAACAACAACAACAAAATCAATATTTTTTTCACTAAAAATATTGTATTTCCTTTATATACTAAGCCAGGGGTAGGCAACCTTTTTCAGCCCTGGGCCGGTCCCCCGAAGTCCTCCTCTCCGATGGGCCGAGGGGGGGGAATGGCAGGGCATGCTCATATGCGCGTGCGCACACACCCCACCGCTGCGCGCAACCCCCCGTGCGCCCGCTGCCACCGCCACACATGTCGCAATCAAAATGGCGGATGCGACGCATTTGCACATGAGCAGGAGTACTGCGCATGCGCAAACGAGTCGCGGCTGCCATTTTGGAGAACAAAATGGCAGCCCGCCACTCTCGACTGCCATTTTGATTTACAAAATGGTGGCCGCAACTCGTTTGCGCATGTGCAGTACTCCTGCTCATGAGCAAACGCATCGCAGCCGCAAGGAGGCAAAAACACTCACCGGTGGCCGGCCCCTGTACTAAGCCCTAGAAGAGCTGAAATACAACACAGGGCCCATTCACACTACACAATTATTTGTGCTATTATTCCACTTTAATAGCCATGATTCCATCCTATGGAATTCTGGGACTCGTAGTTTGAAAGTCTAAATGCCCCTCTATAAACTGCCAATCCCAGGATTCCATAGGATGGAACCATAGCAGTTAAAGTGGAATCATAGTGCTATAATTCTGTAGTGTGAGTGGGCCCACAGAACTAAGGAATGTAATACTATACAAAGAGGGTCACATGTGGTCATTGGACCCCACTTTTGTGGCAACTTAGGTCACCACCAGACTCCAAACCCACCAAAGCTTTTAAAAATTGCCATGATTTATGGATGCTTTTTGCCCCCAAACATGTGAAAATAGGCACAAATAACCCCCCCCAAAGCAGCCCAAAACCCCCTACTGTTCTATAGATAATAGGTAATTTGGTAAGTAGGTAATTAGACAGATAATAATATCCCAACTTTCTCCCACCATGGGACCTATGACAGGCCCTGTTTTCCCTTGCAGTCTCTCTCATAATAGCGACAGGAGGTGTTGTATATTATATCATAGAAGGATGTAAGACTCACATAGAAATAGGCTCTTTGCATGCTGAATGCTAGTGTTAGAACTGCAACACTGATTGGCCAAATAAAAATAGTGGCCTAGTATAGAGAGCAAAGAGATGCAGTGGCTCAAGTGGTTAAGATGCTGACTCTGTTGGTTGCAAGATCGGCCGGTTGGCAGTTCGAGGCCCAGGTGCTGCATGATGGGGTGAGCTCCTGTCACTAGTCCCAGCTTCTGCCATCCCAGCAGTTCGAAAGCATGTAAATGCAAGTAGATAAATAGGTACCACTTTGGTGGGAAGGTAAACAGTGTTCTGTGCAGTCATGCTGGCCACATGGTCACAGAGTAGTCTTTGACAACGCTGGCTCTTTGGCTTAGTAACGGAGATGAGCACTGCCCGCTATATTCAGAAATGACTTGACATCCTTGTCAATGGGGAATATATTTACCTTTATCTATAGAGAGCCATTGTGATTTAGTGGTTTGAGTGCTGGGCTACTACTCCAGAGACCAAGGTTCGATTCCCACTCAGCCATGAAATCCACTGGATGACCATAGGCAAGTCATATGCTCTCAGCCTTAGGGGAAGGCAATGGCAAACCTCCTTTCAACAAATCTTGCCAAGAAAACACCATGACAGAGGACCCATCTTAGGATTGCCATAAGTTGGAAATGACTTAAAGGTATACAATACACACACAAAGGCAGTAACCTGAAACCATTAATTATCAATAACAGTATGGGCATTTTCCCCATTAGATACTTAGTTTATGAATTCATTACATATGTGTGCCTATATTCCAGACATATCTGAAGCAACTCACCTAGTTGGTGAAGGAATCATTTCTCCTGCATTATGTGTAGAAATTGTGATAGTCTTGAAAGAGAAGTACTGTATAAATATCATAAAAGCACCAGGTCTTATCTTAACTTGGAAACTAGGATCAGCCCTGGTTAGTACTTAGATGGGAGACTGCCAGGAAATCCCAGGTGCTGTAGGTGATATTTTGCAGGAAGACAATGGCAAACCACCTCTGTGTACTCTTTGCCTAAGAAAACACTATGACAATGGTGGCAAACCTATGGCACGGGTGCCAGAGGGGGCACTCAGAGCCCTGTCTGTGGGCATGCGCACTGTTGCCCCAGCACAGAGTTTGCTAGAGTTCATTACTAGAAAGCCAGAGGGACATGGTACTTTGCAATAAACAAATGGGCTTTGGGTTGCAGTTTGGACACTCAGTCTCTAAAAATTTCACCATCACTGCACTATGAAATTCATAGGGTCACCATAAGTGGACAGACAACTTGAAGGTGCATGCACACACACACTTTTTTGATAGAAGACACACAGGATCTGCACAAGAAACCAGCAGGGTACTGTGAGGTTTTTCCTCATGAAAAATAGATTGTAAATAAGCTGACCCTACTTCAGTTCCAAGATAGGATCTGGTGTCTTTACATTATTTATACAGTACTTCTCTTTCACAACTATCACAATTTCTGCACATAATGGCGGAGAAATTATTCCTTCACCAATATAATCAATCAAATTATATTTGAAAGAGAAAAAGTGGACTGCCAATCTAAACCAGATCTGCAGATCTATCTGGGTGGTGATGTAAATATCCCACACAGGTATAACTGGTTTAGTAATGGGTTTGCTTAAAATCAGTGTCAAATGACAGGTCATTTCTCTGAAAAGAAATGTACTTACTCTGTGAGTTCAGGAAGTTAAAATAAATGTTACCCTTGATTCGAGTTTTTAAAAGTGCAGGTGCTGTCTTCACAACTGAAAATAATTCTAATAATACAAACACTGGGTGTGCCAAAGCTGAAACATTAATTTTAAAGCTCCCATTGTCATCTGAGTCATTCTTAAGGGACCAAAAACAGTGGGAACAAGAATTTATGCACAGACTTCTAAGGATTATTGTACAAACAAGACTGGCAAAGGTTAATAACTGCAAACAAAATACCAATAAGGTAGGATTAGAAGAGTTAAACAAAATGCAACCCATCCAGTCATAACTACCTAAGAATAACTTTGTTGTATCAGATGAAAAATCCATCTAGTCCCGCACATGGGAAAACATTTTTGGACTACAGCTCACTCCCTACCTCTCTAATATCTGCCCTACTCCAGAATCCCCATCCAATATGGCCATTCTGGTTGTGGGGTTTTAGGAGTTGTAATTCTTCTCACCCATTACTTTCCCCAGCTCTGATCTAATCCAACATCTGGTTTCCCCTAAAAAAGGCTAACTGGATACTTCTAGAGAAATGCATAATTCACTTTCCTGCTGTGACCAGTCTCTGCAATAGAAATAGCAACAACAACAGAGTGTAACTGCTAGGACTATGTCTTGCCGTTGTCTTATTAGGATTCACAGATCTCAGAGCCTGGCCCCACTTCTTCAGTCCTCAGGGCAGGAGAGGGAATCTCAGGTAAGAGTGCTAACTTAAGGGGGGGGGGGTTGGATTTTCCTCATTTGCTAGACCTGATGCGTTTTACTTAAATATCATCAGGATTTGTCCCATTACATTACAAGGTGTCATCCCTCGGTTACAGTTTTTGGCCTTGAATTCCCAGGGCTTGGGATAGTCTGCTGTGGCAACCCTAGAGCAGGGGCATCACTAGAGGAGTTCAGGGGATGCGGACTGCACCAGGTGATACCCTAAAGGTGGGGTGACACCACTGTTCTCCAAACATCTGCCTTTGGGCAAAAATGGCCTGTGGCATTCACCTGCATCTCTTTAAAACACTGAAGAGATGGGATGGATGGGGTGAGGCTCAGTGGGAAGAGAAAGGAGAGGCCCATCTTTTAAAAATCACCTTACGAAATTTTCACTTTAACCATATGAAATAATTTACATGTAACTACATTTAGGCTGTGCATATGATATTGTAATTTAAAACTATAATTTTAATTTTGCTAGTTGCTTATGTCACCACTATTGCCGTTATATTCATTGATAAACAGGAATAACAATTTAGGAGTAACATTAGTACAAAAAACGTTACTAAGGATTCTGTATGGTCTGGTATGAGAAGAGGTCAATGGGGGGGTGTGGCACCATGAGGTACCACATCGGGTGATGCCAACCCTAGTGATGCCACTGCCCTAAAAGCAGTTCTTAGAGAATGGCATCAGGTGAGTTCACTCTCTGGTACAGCCAGCTGCCCTACTTTCTTGTGCATAGGGGGTCTAGAGCAGGGGTAGGCAACCTAAGGCCCGGGGGCTGAATGTGGCCCCCTGAGGCCTTTTGACCGGCCCTTGGCCGGTCCTGCCGCCGCCCCCGCCCCCCGCCATGATGATATTAATTATTGTTGTTATTACTTGTTTTTGGGGTTTTCTTGGCAAAATCTCCACAGGGGTTTTGCCATGGCTTTTCTGGGGCTGAGAGAGTGTGCATGCATATTTTTTAAATTTTTAATTTTTTAAAAAAAATTATTTATTTATTTATTTATTTATGCTGCTTCGGCCCCCCAATTGTCTGAGGGACAGCAACCCGGCCCCCGGCTCAAAAAGGTTGCCTACCCCTGGTCTAGAGAAACAACATAGGGGCACTGGAAAGCTGACCAGGGCCAAATGCCTAACTCTGAAGTTCTTAGAGCCAAGCACTGTGGGCAAGGTACCCTTGAAAACAACTCAAGTTGCATATGTGGTGCATGAATATATTTTGCCCACCATGAATTAGCCCCAAAGAGCCACTCTTTGGGCCTGTCTATTATTCCATAAAGCTCACTCTCCCACTCCTGTCTTACTCTTGACAGGATCCCCAGAATGAAACTAAAAATGGGTAGGAACAATGGAGAGGGTAGGTGGAGGAACTGGTATTGGCGATGTGTCCTCCTGTCTCAGGCAGCTGGACAGCTTGAGCTGGAGAAACTCCAGGATCATTAGTTGCATGGAAAAACACTAACACTATCCTACTTGCAGATCTTTTTATGACGTCTCACAGAATATTTACTGAGATATATTTCCTTCTACTGGCATACCTCATACCTTAGTAAAGTCTTTGATGGCAAAGCTCCTTTTTGCACAGTCTTTTAATGCCCCCAGCCCCCTTTTTCCTTTTCATCCTTCACTTAGTTGAAAGTTTTTGGAGCAAAACAGACTTCTAATGTGCCACCGCAGTATGTCATATTTTTAAAAGTGTAAATCTAAAGTTTAGCCATCTAATTATAAATCATAACAAAGAACTGGCGAAAGAAAAAGCCATCCCTCAATTCATATTGTAAGACGCCTTCCAGTGATCTATAGAAGGTTCAAAAAATGTTTTTTTTAATTAATGCAAGGCTTGCCTGACCTCTTTGTTTCATTTCACATTTGCATAGTGTTAGTTCTGAAGAAGTGCTCTTCTTTGTGGTGTAGGAACCTATCCCTATTCTCTCCCATGTTATTTCTGCCTCTGGTAGCAATTTTTTTGTTGAATAAATAATGTTCAGAAAAACAACTACTTGGTTAATTGAGGTATTTGTTGTTGTGTGCCTTCAAGTCATTTCCAACTTATGGGGACCCTAAAGTGACCCTATCATGGGGTTTTCTAGGGAGTGAAAATATGTGACTTGCCCAAGGTCATTCAGTGGATTTCCATGACAGAGTGCAGAATTGAACCCTAGTCTCCAATGCTCAGCCCACTACACCATGCTGATATGCTGAAGTATTCCAGTATAGATTTTAGAATCAGTCTGTCATATCTGGCAAGCGACACTTGGTGCACCCTTGAGATAGAAGGACCCTCACAACTTGAAACAGATTTGTTGGCTGGTGCTGAGCAGATGCAACAATGACCAAAAAAAATTGCTTCCCACCACCACCATTGCAAGACCCTGAAAAGAACTCTTAGTACATCATGTTCATTACAAGTTTTCTCTACTGGCACTCTTAGGGCCTAACAACATGTGATGTTAAATGGCATCACATGCAACATTATCTGAGCATAAATAAAAATAATTGCAAGTATAACAGATGGGGAATGGAAAAGCAACTTACCATTCCTGACATAGCCCTCTCACTCTGCAATGAGCAATGGAGGGTGGAGGAGGAAGACTCCCAGTGGCCATCTGAGCTGCCTCAGTCTCCTATATGATCATTCCTATTGGCCTTTATTAGTTTAAAAAAATGCAGTTTCTTTCTCCATATCTGTACAGGATCTTCTGAGAGTTGCTTTGGTTCATAGGAAAGATTCTAACATTAGGCGGAGTGACAGTAGATTTTGAAGCACCATTAAAGGACACCCAACAATTTATTATATTTTTACCACTGGGATAGGATTGGATTTTGTGGTTAGTTGACAAAAATATCTTCAGACATTTCTGCTTGGACCCTCAAGGATAATGACACTGATTCTGGAGGCAAATAATCTTAGGCCCTTTCACATTACACAGTTATAGCACTATGATTCCACTTTAACTTCCATAGGTTCCTCCTATGGCATTCTAGGGCTTGTTATTTGGTAAAATATTTACAATCCTCAACTACAGACCTCTAATGCACTCCTCTGAATAACAACTCTACAGCTTTCTCTTGG